AGATGTTGATCATTGTTACCAGTGGGCATCACTGACTTGTTATGCCTGGTTCACTTGGTCTGATTGTGCTTGCGATTTTCAGTATTGACGTCGACCATTTCAGTTATGGTTCATGCTTTTGCAGCCCCAGCGACGTTGCAACTGAAAATTGCGAGCAAAATCTTATCATGCGAATCAGGCTTAAGCATGCATTCTGCGGCGTCCGCGCGGAATGAATCGCTGCATGTCGCATTATTCACGCAAAGTTTTGCGGTGTAACGAGCCCCGGTAATTTCGTTGAGGCCGCTCAAGTAGTCAGACATTGCCAGGAAGACGTAGAATCAACGATTCGAACGCGAAAAAGGGCAGGGGGACTCACACCGACGCCAACAACATCGCATTTCAATGGTTTGTTTATGGGCGACGGCAAGCTTCTTGCCCACACTCCATCGTGCATGCGCGGCGCCGGTGGCGTCCGCTAGGGGCGCTCCGGTTTGTTTGTAAACATGAGTTGGTGTATAACGCTGCCACAAATATCAACAATAATGTAAGCACCCTTGTTTTTTTTTTCTGGAAGGCTTAGCAAGCACTGGGTTTGAGGCGGCGGACTTGTTTTTCGTCGACGAAATGCCTTGAATATGCATAATCTAGGGGGTTCAATGAGTTCCGATCCAAATTGGTGTAAAGCTTTTTTTGTTTTGTTGCCAGAGCAGACTGACTGTGCACATTGTTTATGTGCTTGTTTTCAGTTTTCTGTTTCCTTTGCACAGGAGATGGTTGCACAATTGTGCCCTGTTAATCTCTTCATCAAGTATGGCATTGCATGCTAACCCCCACTTCTAAATTTGCACCTGAAATAGCTTAAATGTGAGATTTGGAACCATGTTGCATGCTAACGAATCATTTGTACAGCTCGTTTCTTGACGCAGACGACGCACCGAGGAAAAGTCCCGTCTGAGTGCTCTGGTTCATGGGTGCGTCTTCTCTCCGAGTGGAATGATCTGTGCTGTGTTTCTCCATAACTTGGCAAAAGGCAACGGCTACAGCATTTCCTCACCATCGCGGCAGACTGTTCCATCTGCGCCAAAAAGTACTGCTACCGTGGCTTTGTTTTGAAAAGCTATTAATCTAAATTTTTTTGAACTGTTATTAAAAGCAAAGCAATAACTTTTACAATGTTTTCAGTCATATCGGCATTCGCTGCCCTGCTCTTCCATCCGCCATGGCAACAACGGCAAAGGAGGCTGCTGTGGTGTATTTGCTGCCACAGTGTGAATGTGCATGCTCTTGTTCTTGCCTTTTGCCCGTTTGTGTATCACAAGCATTCACAAACAGTTCGATGCATTACTGTACAAGGTCATAGGCATGTTTTCTTTTGTACGTGTTTCAGTTAAAAAAAAAAAGTAGCATTGTGTTGAGGATGTTTAGACAGCGAAAGGTCGGCCTGCCTCGAATGGTGCCAAGCTTGCCGCTGTAGATGAGGAATTTAGCCAGGGCAGTATGACCGAAAGCCTGGGATCTTTAACGTGCATCATGTAGTAGTGATTACACAAACGCCTACTGGTATGATCCTTGTCCAGATCGAAATGAGCAAGTGCTGGGATTTAGCCCACGATCCCAGGTTCTGCAGCGCAAGCTTTCGCTCCACATGCCCGGAGCTGAGACGTGCTAGCCGACTCGGGCCACCGTTCCGCCATGTGTTTTAGTTGCGTTCAGCACTATTGTGAATTTGAAGTTATTTTCCTAGTAGTTCAAGCAGGGGAAATTGAAACTTCTATGGTACAAACCAACATTTTTGCTAGAGTTTGCAAGCCGACTGAAAGTATGAATGCCTTTTTAAAACCATCTAATGTCTTTAGGTACATGGGGTATGTTCTTCCCATGTGTGCTAATTTCACAGCAGACTCCTCCGGCTTGCACAGACGCCGCAGTTTCTACAGTTTCCCAAATTAATGTGAAACAGAGTGTAGTGGATTGCGTGCAGGCCTACCCTCTTTCACACTTGAAGAGGTGCAATGTTTTCAGGTGGCTGTAGGTAAACCTGGTATATGGAGAGGTTTATACGTTTCCCATCACACACAAAAGTAGTTCTTTTTTTTTCTCTTTTACTCGACTGCCAAATTAGCAGGAACAAAGAAAATTGGACATTATTTGTCGAGAAGAAGGAAGGTCGGTCTGGCAGCGCATGGTGACACTTTGTCACGCTCTATGTGAGAAATTTGACTAGTGCGGGTACAACCGATAGCCCAAGGTCTTTAAAATGATTCATATAGCAGTAATGCACGCCCATGTGTAGGTGCAGTGCTCATCCAGGTCAAAACGGGCAGGGGCGATCAGTGCAAGTTTTCGCTCCACACACTGCGAGCTGCAGTGGGCTAACACACTCTGCCACCAGGCCCCTCCACATCAGCACGTCCTGTCGAAGCAACGTGCAATTATTACTACTGCTGCTGATGGGGGCTCGCACACGTAAGGAAGGAAAATAACAGCCAGGAATTCTGGTAAGGGGAGGATGCCATACGTCATGGAACACAGGAACAGGCTTGGCTTGAATCCTTTTTGCTTCAGGATCACTATCACTACTCCAAGCTCACCACAGACTTTGCATTCATGGGAGCTTTCTCCAGCAACCGTTTCTTTTTATGAGACACTGCACCGCTTGCAGTGGCAGCTACTCTACGACACCTGCTCGCTGATTTACAGCTGCCCGGCCCGGTATGTGGAGTCACGATAACCTGTGGGTTGCACCTGTTGTGACTCTTCCTTGGCGGTTTCTTTAGCTTAGTTATTTTGCATGGCACCAAGGTTTAAGGTTCTCTAGGACTTCAGGGTCATGTGGTAACTGCATTTTCCAAAGTGTTTCTGACATTAAACAGCAAGCACCCTGGTTGTGCTTGTCACTATGCCACAGTCACCTGTGTGGTGCATGAAGCAGTGGTTTGAACCATTGAAGGGTGCACTGGTGTCTCTTAAGCTGTCCTGGGCACTCATCGGTAAGTAATATTTGTGCTGGTGATCCAATATTCAACGACAAACATTGCAGCAAGAAGTTACTTTTCAGTGTGCACACATTACTGTTGTACAGCCTAAAATATTTCAACGGTGAAGAATAGGAGAGTGACTTGCTTCAGGCTACTGGAACACGTTATTGTGTGGGCCTTTCTTTTATGGAGGGGAGGGGAGGCGAGAGCAGAAGAGTAGCAGAACCAGGCACAAATAAAAATTGAAAAAATCCGCAGCGGAAAAAAATAAATAAATAAAAGCAGTGTGAAGATTTGCGTTGCTTACACGTCACAAACTCGTGTCAAAAACGCAGGCTATACTCTGTTTCACCTAGTGTTGTACCGCAGGAAAGGCTACAAGCGCGAGCTCCTTGCTCTAGAGCACAGCTCGACGGTACAAGTTCTCGTGCAACAAGGGCAGCTGCCAACGCTATGAGCTCGCGCTTCTGGCCTTCTCTGCGGTACAACATAAGGTGAAACTGAGTATAGACGGAGAACGACTCATTATTAATCCGAGACGGGGACACAAATAATAAAACGAAGAGACGCGCGTGTGGTTGCCCTTCACTTTTATTTTTTTATTTTCCCCTTGTTGTTCTTACTCCGCAAAGTCGACATAGTACGAGAAAACACGCAGAAGTAGGAGAGCAAAGAGGCTCCTCGGCGGGCTTTGCCGTCTCGCGCGGTTCTGGGGTATTCGTATTCGAGTTTGGATCATTGGTAAAATGTATGGGCTGCGCGGAACTGAGCGCTGCGTGACAACCATACGTGCGTTCATCGGTGGTTTTGTACGTCACCACCATCGGCAAAGTGGGCGACTGAGCACGTCTACCGGTGCAAGGCGAGCTTCGCGCGGATGATCACGGAGGATGATGATAAAAGCGGCCGACGCGATCGCGGGGTGAAACGGTCGACGGGACGATACGCATTCAACCGGAGTCTGGGTTGTTTAATGCACAAGCCCTAGCACGTCCACACACACACACGCACAAAGAAACATTACTTGTGAAACTGGAACGGAATTAACACAATACAATTTTCGCATAAAATGCACACAATCGCCGATGTCGTGTTCGCGTTGACAGCGCGGTTTGTCGGTCGTGGGAACAGCGCCGTCACTTTCGAATAGCCAACAAGATCCGACCCGACATGAAGAAGTCGAAAGCGCCATCCGCCGCCCTCGCGGCTCTCCGCCGTCACTCTAGCCGATGTATTTTTCTCCTAGCCGAGCTAAACCATTTGGCGTAGTCAAGCCAAGACGCCTTGAAGTTTACTTTTCGGCCGCTAACAGCGCTTGACGAGGTCGCCCGAGGTCCTATCACTCCCACCCCACCTGTTCCCTCCAACCCTTCCACACATTCCCGAGACCCGTCCGTTCCCCCTTCCTCTCTACCATAATGACCCGTCCGTTCCCCCTTCCTCTCTACCATAATGACCGCAGCCTTCTTAGCATACGGAGCGGACCACCCCACCCACCAAAAGCTCCCCACGTTATCGCTGCAATCAGCGTGAGACTCCCTCCCTCTCCCCCTCATTAGGGAGGGTCCCCGTTTTGAAGGCGGATTCCGGGCCGGATTCCGAAGTATACCCAAAACGAGTGTTGACCTTCATAATAGCTTGTTAAAGCTTGAATCCAGCAACTCTGACCTCATCACGGACATTACAACGGGTGCGGCGTACAAGACCTTGCACCAGAAGGTTGCATTAGGCCAAAGTGACCTGACGTTAACCTTTAACACTGACGGAAGCCCTATTTTTAAATCTTCCAAAACGTCAGTGTGGCCAATACAGTTCACCGTGAACGAACTGCCTCCATCTGTCCGCTTGCACCATCCAACTCTAGCTGCCCTCTGGTTTGGAAAATGCCACCCGGATATGTCGGCTTTCCTAACGAAGTTTGTTGATGAGGTCAACAACATGATCCCTGTGGCATGGACACATGGCGATCGCAGTCATGCATCGAGAGCATTTGTGTTGTGCTGCAGCGTGGATGCCCCTGCCCGTGCTGCAGTACAGAACATGGTGTGTTTCAACGGCTTCTTCGGCTGTCCGTTCTGCCTCATGAAAGGCGAGCATAAGGAAGGTATGAGTTACTTATTTTACTAATAGTAATTACTTATATCAGTTCAGAAATGTATATATGATCACATCTCCATTGTTGAGTTCAATGTAGCACACTGCTTTCATTTGCAGGATGTGTACGTTATGTCGCTGATGAGGCACCAGCTCCAAGGACATCGGAGCTCCTTGCTCGAGATATGGTGCTGGCGCAGAGACTGGGGGACCCTGTGAATGGCGTCAAGGGTCCATCTGCACTCATGAACCTTAAAGGTAGTTTTTGTATGCGGAATGTGTTGTGTCGAAACCAACTTGGTATAATTTTTCCCTAGGCTTTGACCTGGTTGAGGGAATGAGTGCCGAGTATATGCACTGCGTTCTCCAAGGGGTAGTGCGGCAGTTCACGGAGCTGCTTTTTTCATCTTCCAGCTCACGGCAGCCCTACTACATGGGTAACTACTGACTTTTTTTTTTATGTCTGGCCATGCATGAAAAAAAGCCCTAAATCTTATTCAGTTGCTGTTTCCCAACTACAGCCTAAATGCAGGTCTGGTGTCGCAAGGTTCTTGCCGTAATCCTTTATTGCGCTCTGCATGCACACAACGCAACACTGCTAGCACGAGGAAACAATCACCTGTTTTTCCTGTGTTTAATCGCTGTAATCAAAACTGATGGATGATTAAGAGTGTTCTCTTGGGACTCTAGCCTGAGTGGTAAAATTTCGTTCATGTCGATGCATTGTTTTAGCAAATGGGAAAAAGCACCGATGCCGTCTTTGCTCTTGCAGAGTGTACGTAAAGTAAATAAGTAAAGTAAAGTAAGTGTAAATAAAGATGTCGTAAACCTGACGTAGATTCAAACTTAACTTTGCAACTTTCGAACACTGCTGACATTCGATTTAGAAAAGTGTGCAATCTTTGAACACGGCCAAAGTTAGAACTGGCCAACTTAGAAGCTTTGAAGGTTTCTGTAAACTCGAGTTTGAATGTTTTGATTCCGTTTAAGAATAAAGTTTGCAACATCTGTATAGTTTCATTTTTTTAAATTTAAGATAAATAGATTTGAAGTTTCTTTCAGGTCCAGGTTTGTGAGGTTCGGAGTCTTCGAATATCAGAGATATCCAGGTTTTACAGTTTTGAAAATCATATGTTTGTTTTGTTTGTTTCCTAGACCCAATCTTGATACACAACAGTATTGTGTTTCATTTTGAAGTTGACACATGAGCTATGTCAAGATTCCAGGCGAGGCCACAAAGCGTAAAAAGCTACCACTGCATATTTACAGTAAATGTAAAGAACTTAAAATCTTCATGAGAAATATTTCAAGGCAGGCATAGCACAATCAACACAATCAAAAGTAAACGTCCCGAAAGCATTCCACTGAAGCCAACAGCCCCGTTTCAAATGAAACTTTTTGTTGATGAAAAGTAGCTCATGGCATGTTTACAGTGAAAACAGAGAACCCATTCGATGTAACCCGAGGTGGAGGCCAATACCTGCGGTAACAAATACTATGCAAGCAAAATCGCCTCGACTCACTCGGCTGACTCAGCCACTGCGCATGTGACATTGCACGAAACGGTCGAAACGAGCGAAGACATGAAGCAACTGCCTTTCCAGTTTTAACAGTTATTATGCAAAATAGCTCCACCACGGATTGGCTTGTTTACTTCTTTAACAGGGAGGCCTGGGAGAGGCTTTGTTACGACTATCAATTACCAATGCATGGTTGTTGGTAATTTGCAGCAGTTGTTAAGGTGGCCATGCAATCATACTTGAGGCTGTAGTTTTTTTTGCAGTTTCTATCTCTGTGGTGGTCTGGGCATCCCGGGGGAAGGAGAGAATTACAAAATATTGCAGCATATTGGAATCGGACAACGTGTGGCGCTGAATGCGTGCAGCCAGTGACGTTAGTGAGAAACCTTGCCGTAGGCCAGACCCATTAGAACTTTTTTAAAGTCAAAATAAATATTATAATTGGGCGAGCTGTTAAATTTTTTTATAAAAGTAGATTTTCTCGAGTATCAGAGATACACAAGAAATATTAAAAGTTTAAAAAGTATGTGAACACACAACGAAAAACGACACCTCATTGAAACGCAGCAGTGGAAAAGGCAGCACAGGCACACAAGCGGTTTAGCAGACAATGCACCTAACCACATTTTTTGTCGCTTTGCTCCTACATTGGCCTGTTGCATGCTTGAACAAGAGGAGGTCTTTTTTTTGTTTTTGTAACTTCAGTTTGGCTGTTTATAGTGTGTATTCGCTACTCAATTGTTTTTTTCTTTTATTCATGGCGAAAACAGCTAAAAAAAACAACAACCGCATCTCAACGTGGTGAATGATGTTGATTGGGGCGAAGCTCTGGTGGTGCTTGTCTGCATAGACGCTGAGCCGCAGCATGCCGAGCCTTTCATTCGTTTTCATCCATGTCGTGCTGCAGTCAAATGCTCAAATGCGTATATAACCACGTTTCATACCACACATTCTCTTTCTGACATGGATGAAAACGAAGGAAAGGCTTGGCATGCTGCGGCTCATTGTCTACGCACACAAGCACCGCCAGAGCTGCCCCAATCAACATCATTCACCACGTGGAGATCAGTTTGTTTTTTTCCCTACACGAGCACTGGAGCACGTGCTCACGTGCTCGTGACCCGACGGTGGACGGACATACGGACATGGCTAGCCCCTCAGGAGCTTCGCCCCTAAAACGAAAACGACGACAAGGAACAAACACGACAGGACGAAGCTGTTGTGTTTGTTCCTTTTCATTGTCTTCATTTTTGAGCTGTCTTCATCATGAATAACGTATACCAACTTACCCAAATCACTACCTTAGTACATTTACGTTGTTTTTTTGTATGAACATCACTGTTCAATAAATGTTCCAATAATTTAAGAATTTTCATGTGGTTTGCAGGTGCACGGGGGTCTGTTGTCAAGGTCAATGCACGCCTCCAAAGCATCAAGCCTCCGCACTGTATCACAAGGCTACCTCGTTCGATTGAGGAGCGCAGTTTCTGGAAGGCCTCCGAGTGGAAGCAATGGCTCCTTTTTTATGCCCTTCCATGCTTGCTGGACCTCCTTCCCCAACTCTACTGGAGGCACCTGTGCAAGCTCTCTGAGGCTATCCATATCTTGCTCCGTGATAGTCTTACGCTTGAGGAAATCAAGCGTGCAGGTGAGCTACAAATCATTATGGTGTCACATTGTCATATAAAAAGTTGCCACACTTTTGTCGATAGCTGGCATTTGCGACAAATAGAAAATGGTTGTTAAAAGATTGAAGTGAGGGTGCATATTGAAAACTTAAATCTTTTGATGGCTAAGTATACATGGCATCATATGGTGATAGCACAGTGAGGCAAATTATAGGACCTGAGGTCCCATAATTGTGCAGCTATGTGCAGCGCAGCTGAAAAAGCTGGGGACGTAGAAAAGTGAACAGATTCTGTTCACAATGTCTTTTCTTGATTCGAGGTTTGTTCCGAGCTCACTGCAATCATAAACAAAAAATACATCTAGCACAGAAAATTGGCACACAACATGATTTCGTAAAAGCAAAATTAAAGAGTGCAATTCTAACAGTTTTTTGATTTCTCGGTAATTTAGTCAGGTCATCAACAGAAACGTAAAAGGGGAATAAGATACCATACGGTAACTTCCATAGGCAACATAATATTCTTCAGATGGACTACAAGTCTATAAATGCATGGTAAAGTTATGTGATTGAAATTGCCAACTCCGACATTAGGAACTAGCCTCTCTCATCTATAAGTCATTTGTCAAATCAACGTGAACTTTGAAGCACTTGTTAGCCATCAGTAAGCTATCTTTTATCTTATGCTGTCACTTTTATGAGCTCATATTAAGTTTGTAATTTGACGTGTGCGTCCACAGGCCATCGAAGTGCTTTGTTGTCGTCGGTTCTGACAGGTATGAGCAAGCATGATGAGCCCACACTCTATGTACAACTTCCCCGGGCTTTTCTTGTAGGACAACTGTGCTGTGTCAATGTTTCGTTGATAGCGGTAAGTGTACAGTACAGACGTGTAGCTACTCATAGGTCACCATACCGGTATCTCGCCGTCGAGTTACTGCCTCCTTTCCAGCATGCTTGTGCTGTCGGCGTAGTGGCTGTATTGGAAGGCTCTCGACAAAAAAAAAAAATGCACCTCGACTGTACAAACGAACATCATTCCTAATGTCTTTCTCACCGACAAGAGAGCCTTGGTGACTACCCTTCACGCTGCGTCCATTCGTAGTCAAATGTAACTGGAGCGCATGACTGTTTTGCTTCATGGAGCTGGGGACTGGTTGCAGCCAGCAAACACAATTGGCCTCATGCCAATTGGCTCATCCCAGTGCATGGGAGAAGTGTGGTGGCTTCTCGGATGTGATGCTGGCCAAAACAAAACATAAAATGCTTGGACACATAAAAAAAAGGAAAAAAAACATTCCGACCTTCTTTTTATGTCCATGGTATCTAATGTGCACCCGAGCCTGGAGACCACCTCACTCCCCTTGCACGCTTGATGTTTGGAGCTGCGTGAGCGATTAGCTGCACTGGCTGCTACCAGGGTAGCGCTTCGTGGAGGAAAGCGCAGAGCTGCACATTTTACTTAATTTGGGGCATGTTAAGTCGGAGCTCCGGAGCGCAAGAGTTTGGGTCAGGGCACGGGATGCTTCTTCGCCCTCCATGACGTCACTTCCATACAACATGGCCGTGCCGCTATGAAAGCTGTCAAGTCGAGAGAATGGTCGGATGGCTGTTCTTTTTCATTTGAAGAATGCTATGCTCAGCCAGTACAGACGATTCGAGTGGCAAGCCGAAACATCGACTAGCATTCTGGAAAAAAGGTTTTTTGTGTGTGTTGCCTGGGAACGAGTTGCATCCAATGTAGTACTGACGGCGGCAGTGTGCCGACAGAAAAGTCGAGACGCTGGGGCGGTCGAACCGCTGGCTATCTGGAGTTTAAAATTGCTTAGCCCAGCGAGTAATGACAATACGAGTGGCAAGCCGAAACATCAGTTAGCGTTTCGAAAAGGATTCTTCACGAGTCTCGTTTGAAAATGATTTAATGTGCAGTGTATTCAACAACGGTATTCTGATCAACAGGCATCGCTGCTCCCACGCTGCCAAATCGAACTTCTTCGACAAGTTTGACAGCTTCATCAGTAATCTAGCCGGATAAAAAAGAGCTTACTTTTTTTAATGTAGGTGGCACGGGCATTAATAAATCGGTGACGTCATTTTTTGCCTTTGTCAGTTAGGCTCCAAACTTTTCAGGAGTTAAAATGTTTATACACTTCTAGTGTCACTGTGTCTTTCAGTTTAATTGTCTGCCGTTGCATGCAGCAATCCAGCTATTGGGCTACATTAAATTATTTTATTTTCAGAATCATAGCAGCTTCTGCCACGTGTATGCACCACTGCATTGCACTCATAACAAAATGTTCATGACCGTACGACCAGAAGTCTCACTCGTCAATTCTTTTAGTGTGTCACCAGTGTCACGCTCTCGGTCGCTATGCTCCATTTAGCTACTGCACTCGGAGTATGAAACTCTGAGCGTTGGAGTAGGAGTGAAGAAGTACCGACTTAACATGCCCTTTGATTATGACTGTGCATGCTAAAAGCATGTGCAGTCTCCGTCGATATGAAAGACCCACTGGGAGTGCGTGGCCGAGGCGGTGGCTTGGGGGGCGCTGCGAGCGCTCCGGGCAGTTCCATTCTGCTTCGAGGGGAGGACGCTCACTCGGGACTTGGCACAAACTGATGAGCGCGTCTCGCTTTATCTGAGCCCGAGTGAACGTCCTCCCCTCGAAGCAGAACGGAATACCCCGGAGCGCTCGCAGCGCCCCCGCCAGCCACCGCCTCGGCCACGTGCTCCCAGTGGGTCTTTCATATTGCCGGAGAGTGTACACTGTGGCAAGTCTAATGGTCGATGCTTAAATGCCATTAACTTGGAACAGTAACTGCATTTTTTTTTACTGTAGTGGAGCCAATTGGTTCATATGTTATATGTCAAATATACTATTTCCTTATGCATTCTCAATGTTTCCTTATTATCAAATGAGGAGGTTGGCAATTTGAACAAGGTAACTGGATTCACTAAGTATAGTTGGTTCTAGCTAAGCTATAGACCGACACGCTGTTTACAAACAAGCCCGCGTTTGCCCACACAAGGTGTGGGCACTGCGCATGCGCAGAAACCGAATTCGAGTGAACTGAGGCGCCTGAGCATGCGCAGTGCCGTTGACAGCGCCACCGCAGCTGCGTGACGTCAGGGACGCGTGTTGGTCTATATATACAGAAGCACTGTATCACTTTAATTTTTTCTTTTGTAGAAGAACTTCTCCACATGTTCGTGGGTCGTGTGGAAGCCCTCTACGGAGTGACTGCCATGACCTTTAACGTGCACCTTCTTGTTCATCTTGCGAACTCTGTCCGTCACTTGGGGCCACTCTGGGCCCACTCAGCCTTCGTCTTCGAGGGTGGGAATGGAAAACTTGTGAATCTTGTGTCAGCAGCCAAGGGACTTCCTCAACAAGTTGTAGAACGTGTGGTGATGATGCAGGAATTGGAGCTTTTGCTTTCCACTCACAAACTGCCGGCAAGGGAGGAGCAGATCTGCCGAGGCTTCCTCGGTTACATGCCGATTCAAAACGCTTGCCGGGTGAATGAAACGACGACACTTGGCTGTGGGCAACCCGCCATTATGAGCAGTGAGGACAAGTTTGCTCTTCAGCAGCACTTTGGAGCAACTGTAAGCAGTGCTACGGAGTACCAGAGATGCGTCATAAAAAATCAAGTGTACCATAGCACTTCCTACACGAGAGCCACCCAAAGTGACACCACTTTTGTCTCCACGCATGATGGACATTACTTTAAGATTTTGAAAATTGTGGAAGTAGTTTTGGCAACTGGTTCTTGCTGCGTCCTCCTTTGCAAGAAAGTGGTTCTGAGGGAATTGCAACAGCTTCCAGAGCACATCAAGGAGTGCTTTCTCTCAGAAAGAAGCACTGTTTGCTGTGTGGAGCCCTGCAATGTCAAAAGCAGCTGTGTTTACATTGAATTCATATCGGATAGCAAGTCCTTCATCTGTGACCTCCCAAATGTTATAGAGCGCGATTAGTTGGGTTCTAAACACTCGTTCATTTAAATTTGGCTAGCGAACCCCTTTGAGTGCTGCGCCTGAGTCACACTCTTATGTTCAGTCCTTGTACCCGTGATATATGTTTTGTTTTGTTTTGCTGTGTGTCAATGAGGACAGGTTGATACTGTATATTTTGATCTTTCAAAGTCCTTTTGATGTGGTTGATTGTCAATTTCACATAAATTGAATTTTTATGGTATGTGCGCCCCACTTAGAACTTTCTTTGATTTGTCCTTAGACAGATGTGTGTTCTTTGACTGCACTTCCAACCTTATGTTTCAATTTCGGATGCGCCGCAGAGGCCCATGCATAGTCCAATTCTCCATCAGTGTTTTCATAATCACCTAAGTTTAATTGTGTTCAAATGAAAAACTGTTTTGGCAGATCACACTCTTGCGGAACTGTGAAATGCTTATGGATGTGAAATCAGTATGCGACATGGTGTTGTAGTAAGCTGATGCGCAATTTTTCTGACTTTTTTGTTAATTCATCTGAACTTGTCCCTTGACCCACATAAAGCGTGCTGCAGTTATTGACGTTTTTATCTGAAGTTTGTAGAATTTAAACTGGTTTGACCTACTTCTGGGAAGAAAATATTAAAAGAATCATAAGAATAAGAATGCTGGCTCTTACTTTTTTGGATTGATGAAGTGTTCTCTAGCTAAATAAATAAAGCTGACCTTTCGTGTGGGCATTAATATGCCATGAATTCAGTTGCAAATAAGTTAGTAGTTTGTAGTACCATGTCTCCCTGTGACAATCGTGAGATGGTAGAACATATATGACAAATAAATAGCTTCAACACTGTTAACAGAACCGTTTGTTGCAATTTTATTTTGCACAGTGAAGGTTACGAATGACTGCGCTATCCAATTCGCACACCTCTACAAATAAAGTGAAAAAGAGGGGTCAATCTGGTAACCAGTTAGGCCAATCTGGTGACCAGTTTGGTAAATCTGGTTACCAGTTTGGTCAATCTGGTTACCAGTTTGGTCAATCTGGTTACCAGTTCGGCCAGTCTGGTGACCAGTTTGGTCAATCTGGTTACCAGTTGAACCAGTTTGGCCAGTCTGGGGACCAGTTTGGCCAATCTGGTGACCAGTTTGGCCAATCTGGTGACCAGTTTGGTCAATCTGGTTACCAGTTCAGCCAGTCTGGTGACCAGTCAGGTCAATCTGGTGACCAGTTAGAAGGCAATCTGGTGACCAGTTAGATCAATATGGTTACCAGTTAGACCAGTCTGACTACCAGTTCCACCAGTTTGATTTCCAGTTAGATCAGTCTGACCAGTCCAAATACCAGTTTGACCAGTTTAAATACCAGTATGACCAGTTAGATTTTCAAACTGGTCTTTCCAATAGGGAGGGCAAGCAGACTTCCTCGCAGAACATTTTCAGCGTGTTTGTAGCTCTTCCAATTACAGTACGGAGTTTGTAAAGTTCCGGTCTACCGCTGAAAAACAGAAATTCACTATGTCAGGCTTTAACTCTGTTGCATACAACAAACCATTCACAATGTGTGAACTCGAAGTTGCTCTCAGCTTAAAAAAGCAGTCTGCACCTGGGCCAGACAGAGTTCACTACGAGATGCTCAAACACCTCTCTCATGAATCCTTGTACCACCTGCTATCCTTTTTCAATTACCTTTGGGAAGCTGCTGCTTTTCCGCATACTTGGAGATGTGCCCACGTTATACCTTTGCTGAAGCCTGGAAAAGATCCCTCTCTGGCTACAAGCTACCGCCCCATAGCACTTACAAGCTGCTTGGGGAAAACTTATGAAAGGCTTATAAATCGCCGCCTTATGTTTTTTATTTTGGAGGAGGAAAACTTTTTCGATACTATGTGGCTTTCGGGCTGGACGGTCGACTATGGACCATCTGGTCCGACTTGAGACCATCATACGCGAGGCCTTTGTTCACCGGCAGCATTGTGTGTTCGTGTTTTTTGATTTAGAGAAGGCATACGACACTACATGGGGGTATGGTATCCTTCGAGATTTGTACAACTGTGGAGTGCGTGGCCGCATGCTCCGTTGCTCACAGTACTATTTAGGTGAACGTACATTTCAAGTTCGAGTAGGCTCGACTTTATTCAATGTCTTCTTACAAGGAAATGGTGTCCCCCAGGGCAGAGTTTTAAGTGCCACTTTATTTGCAGTTAAGATAAACAGTCTAGATCAAGTTATACCGTCATCCGTTTCTTGCTCTCTTTACGTGGACGACGTGCAAATATCTTTTTCGTCTTGCAACCTCTCTAGTTGTGAACGGCAATTGCAGCTCACGATAAATAGGATGAGAAAGTGGGCAAATGAAAATGGTTTTAAATTCTCCCCAGAGAAAACTCTGTGTGTGCCCTTCTCCCTGCGACGAGGTCTATCTTTGGATCCAATCTTACAATTGAATAACACAGAAATATCGGTGAAGCACGAACATTAATTTTTAGGCATGATTTTTGATAAAAAGCTTACATTTAAGTCTCATTTAAAGGAAATAAAGCAGAAGTGCTTGCAATCCTCTAACATCCTTAAGGTGCTGTCACATGTATCTTGGGGGTCTGACAGGCGATGCCTCCTACGGTTGTACAATGCTTTAGTTCGGTCACGCCTGGATTATGGAGCGATCGTTTATGGTTCAGCACGACCTTTCGCACTAAGGATGTTGGATCCGGTTCATCACCTTGGGCTCCGGCTTGCCACTGGGGCATTTCGCACATCACCTGTATTAAGCTTGTATGTGGACACACATCAAATGTCTCTCGGAAAATGGCGACAGTACTTGAGCCTGTGTTATTATTACAAAGTCCTCTCGAATCCCAAAAATCCTGCTTATAGTATTTTACACACCCCTCAGTTCTGTAAATTGTTTGAAAACAAGCCAACAATTGTGCGCCCCCTAGGCTTTCGAGTTCAAAGTATCTGTAACTCTCAACCTCCCTGTCCCTTCCACAAGTGGTGTTAACTTGCTAAAATCTATAGAGAGAATCGCCCCTTGGAACGAGCTACCCGTATGTCGTGACTGGTCTCTCACCAAATACAGTAAGAAGACCGTTGCTCCACAGTTTCTTCAGAAAGAGTTTATATCTTCGCAAGAAAGGATATCTAGAGGTTACAACGAGTACTATACCGACGGGTCAAAATCTTTAAGTCACGTTGGTTGTGCAGGTTATTCTAGTAACTTTGGAAGAGCTGTGCAGCTTGACTCAATGGCAAGCATCTTCACCGGAGAGCTCTATGGTATTTTATTAGCCATTGAGCATATTCTAGACAACAATGTATTCAACGCAGTCATTTTTGTCGATTCGCAAAGTGTCTTATCTGCTATTTTTTCCAGAGTTTCTATAAAGAATATACTTACACAACATGTTTGTATTAAAGTAAACAGAGCTCTTCGCCTTGGATGCACTATCAAATTTTGCTGGGTACCGAGTCACGTAGGAATCGCAGGAAATGAGAATGCAGATCGCCTGGCTGCATCTGCCACACACTCAATAGTATCGTTTGGCCTGCCCTACCAGGACTTTAAACCACTTCTAAAGAAATCTCTTTTAAAGACTTGGCAGCTAGAATGGGACACTGAAACCAATAATAAGCTCCACGTGATTAAACCCATGATAGGCATCTGGGAAAGTTCATTCCACAAGAACCGCCACCTTGAGGTTCTGCTTTGCCGCTTGAGAATTGGCCATTCACGTTTGACACATACATACCTTAATCGTAATCGTGGGCGCGACCCGATTGATTTCTGTAGCTTGATTCGACGGAAGAGCATAGTAACCTCAGCCTTTCCTTGAGGATTTCATGGGAACTTATGGGATTTACAAGCACTGACATGTGCACTTTAAGAAAAAAAAGAAGAAAAAAGGGAGTGTGTCACAGAATTGTAGTGGCATCCTGTAATTTATTTTTATTACGTTATTTAAAGGGAAGCTACGGAGCTTCTTGAAAAAAATGAGTTAGAAGTGAATTCTAGTGTATTTTTACCCCATGAACCCGAATACCGAAACCATTTGCTGCTTTAAGTATTGTTAAAGGTGAGAAAAACGCGAAAGACAGTCGCTGTCCGTGACGTCATCGACGGCTCTTTTGGCTGCCCAAGGCTAGGGAGGCGGGGCTTCAGCCCTATTTTGAAATTGCTCTTGTGGCTCTCCGGCGCGTCGCATTGAAATATAATTTTGATATCTGTTATTCTAAAGGCCAAATGAACGCAATTCAAGCATTTTTTCTCAAATGTAGAAGTGCCCCATCTTCTCTTTAAACATAACGCGTTTTCCTTTCCGTGCACATATTTCTCCTTGTAGCCTGTATGTTTCTCCGTCGCTGGTTCGGTTGCTGCAAAGGCACGTGGGGAACAAGGGGAACAAGAGGGACAAAGGACAAACATAAATCTCCAAAAACAGCTAGGTGACTGGTGAGCGACCGAAAAAATCCGCCTGGTCCGGGTATCGAACCCGGGACCTCTCCATTACAAGTGGAGCGCTCTACCAACTGAGCTAACCAGGGGTTAGACGTCAGTAGAGCAAACGGGTTTTATCAGCTGCCACCAGTCTAACACCAACAAGGGTGAAGCTTGCGATTTAAGGTTATAATTATAATGCAATGCAATAATGCAATATAATGTCTAACCCCTGGTTAGCTCAGTTGGTAGAGCGCTCCACTTGTAATGGAGAGGTCCCGGGTTCGATACCCGGACCAGGCGGATCTTTTCGGTCGCTCACCAGTCACCTAGCTGTTTTTGGAGATTTATGCTTGTCCTTTGTCCCTCTTGTTCCCCTTCTCCAGGGTTTATTTTCGTCATTCTTGTCCAGCTCGCTTGCACCTTTGCATTTAATTGCATTATAATTATAACCTTAAATCGCAAGCTTCACCCTTGTTGGTGTTAGACTGGTGGCAGCTGATAAAACCCGTTTCCTCTACTGACGTCTAACCCCTGGTTAGCTCAGTTGGTAGAGCGCTCCACTTGTAATGGAGAGGTCCCGGGTT